ACAGATTGATGATGTCAACTAAGAGTTAGAAGAATAAAAGCTTTCCTCTTGTCTGGGTCTGGGCTTACAAACCCAACTTTAAAGTTAACATCATAAATCAAAACATCAAAATAGTTCTTCTTTTCTAGTGTTGTAGATCACTGACATTTCTCTGTAGTTGAATAAAAAATAATATATTCAATATTCAAAATATCCCTGCATGTGTGCAATTCTGACTCTGAGCTGTGCACATACCTAGACATAGCTGCAAAATAAGTTATGTTTTATTCTTCTTTACCCTTCCATTTGTCTCCGATTTGTACCACGTACAGTTTTATCTCTGTCTTTGTGAAATGTAGCATTGTTTACTCCCCATTTTAAGACCTAAGTAGTTTGCCATCCTCTCCCTGTACTGCTCTTGAAAGCAGCATTAAGGGAATGGAGGCCAGTGCGTGCGTGGGGTGAGCAGCAGAGAGGCACTTGCAGCCTTAGCGCTGGTCTGGACCCCTAATCCAGATCCAGCTTGGGTTTTCTTTTGGGTAACTCTGTAATTCACCTCTAAGGCCAGTTTAATRTGAGAACTTTGGATACAGATGACGAAGTAAATGACTTCTATCTGAGAGCTAATGATTTGTAAAATTAAAGTTCTTTCAAACYGTGAAAGGAGAAGTGGGATGTATTTAATGAATGTGCCTTTTTGCGAGCAATTTGTGTTTAACTGAACAGCCTAGAAACGTGTGAGGTGCTTATATGGATCACAGACAGCGAGAGCAACTGCACCTTATACCTGCAATTTACTGTATGTGCTGATTCGGAGGTGTGATAACATGAACGATAGATTTACACGTTTGGAGGTTTTTGGGTGCGTTTCAAAGGGAGTGCGAGAGTCAAGTCATGCTTCTTAAGAATTCCCTTAGCTGCTTTGATGTGCTTTGCTCATCAGGCCCTGCAGCGCTCCTGGCTGCCATGGACAGCCCTTGTTCYGTGCAACGCCTTCTGTCCCAAGCAGCTTCTCGCTCGCCTCTGCGTGAGCTGTGAGGTCAGAAGCTAATTGAAATGGAAAATAAATGATTTTGTTGTTGTTTTTTAACCTTCTTATTTGCTGCGGCCATAACACGTGTCACCTTAATCCCTGCACTGGATAGGCCAGAACTACGGCTTTAGGATTAATGCTTATAGTGGATTTAGGATTTCAAGCAAACGTGTTGCTAGGTTTGCGTTGTATCTATTTTTTTCTGCCTGGAGAGAAATGCTTTTCCTTTTATCAGCGATGCCTTTTAAAATTTTGAGGAGAACCTTCTGAGAAAGGATGAAGACACATACAATGATTTTTGAAGAGACGAAGATGTGTGCAATGATTTTTGAAGCGCTATATGAGAAGAAAATATCTTTTTTTTACAGACCTGGAATGAGAGTGAGGAGCTTAAGCACTTGGAGAGATTTGCAGTGAAAAGCAAGGATGCTGAGGGGAATGGGCTGCGCTCTGGTATCTTTGTGTTAATCTACAGCAATGGACAACATTGGTGGGTTGAAGAGCAAGGAGCGCCCTGAGGAAGAGTGGGGCTGGCAGGTTTGCTAGGGCATGTGCAAGGGGTTCTCCTGCTTGTCAGGAGGAGGAGGCTGCCTGTGGAATCCAGCTGGGGTTTGRCATAACGGCGTGGGGGCTGCTCAGGGGCCGACATGTAGCGAAGGAGAAGGAGGACCATCCGGAGGCTCCGGTGTGTGCCAAGAACGGGCGCCTGGCCGCCTTGTCCCCCACGCCCGCCTGCACCCGCCACGCGGCATCCCGTGAGCACAGAGCCGCAGCCGCCGTCCTCCAGAACGGGCACACGGAACATCGCGCAGCATAAACAGCTTTTTGATGGGATCTTTTAGTTTAAATTTGGATGTGGGAGAAGGCCAGAGTTCACAGGGTTAACTGCTCTGCAACAAGCTGAAAAATACTGCAGGACCTTTGAAGTCATTGATTATCTTGAAGTGTTTTCTCCTAGTAACATTTCTATGCTATTAAGTTGAAAACTTGGAGCTACAGAATTTTGATCATTGTTAAGGCCTACAGAGCTTGTGTACAGTTTTAAAGCTGCCATTTGCCTCAGCTATGGATGCCTCAAAATCTCCTCTGCTTCGAAATAAGTTCTCAATTGCCCGCCTTGCTGAAGAGTTTTTCTGGGTTGGTGGCAGCATCGTAGCTTCTCCGAGATGGAAAATTGGTCATATTGGTAAGATGTAGACTGAACACCTGACGCTTACCTGCACAAGGGAGCAGCATTTTAAAAGTTTTTGTTTTTAAATCTTATTTAGTGACACTTATCTTGCAGTACTGTGGGGAGAGGAAAATAAAGAAGGTGATAAACAGCACTAGTTTTACGTTATTTTACTGTTTTACTGTTTTGTCAGTGCAGTTATTTTGCTCTTCCAGAACCTCTGAATTACATTTTTAATTTATTTTCCTTACTACAGAAATGCAAATGCAGTGTTGCAAAGTTTGGCATGTGCTGGCCTTCAGAAATTCTCCATCTTCCTTCTACATACTCAGAAAGAGAGTTTGGCTGTCTGGTCTTAGTTGCCATAATTTGTAAATACTCTCAATTCTTTAATTTTTTTTTTTAATTTAATGTTTGTTTTGTTTTCAGTCCTTGTAATCACTATTTAAAAATATGTCTGCTGTTCACTTGATTCTTCTGGAGATTTGTTCTTAATACTGATATTCTATGGCAAAATACTCAAACTTCCCTAGCTGGCTGAGGGAGTTTTCTTTGATTCGTATCAGTCTTTCTCCTTCATTGGTGATAAAGCAGTAAACCTAATTGGCAGTGGCTGGGTCCCTGCAATGTTCCTCTTCAGTAAAAGCTTTCTGTGCCTCTCATCTCCAGGAAAGCATCCTCAGTGGCCCTGATACAAACACTGGCTACTTTGGAAGCACTTTTTTGTCCTGCTTGTTTGCCACTTTCACCAAGCAAAGATTTTTTTTAATGAGGAAGTCAGAGGCACAGCTAGCTTAGAAGCTAGGGGGGATTCTCSGAGAGGTTCTGAAGAGCCATCCTGCCCCTGTGCCCAGGTGGCTGATTCCGGCTCGGCCAAGAGAGACAGAGAGCTGAGAGGCTGACCTCAAATTCAGCCCTCTACTTTCCACAAATTTTAATGTCTTTTCTCCCATTAACACATTATTTATTAGTCACTGAATGCTGAAAAGATAGAGCTGGTCTTAAATTCTGCCTTGTATTCAGCAAACACTGTCCCAACTGTTCCTGTCAGATTTAAACAGAACTTTTCTCTTTCAAAGTAATTTTAAGGATTGTTTTCTAATGGGAAGAATAGTAAGAGTTTTGAAATTGAGAGAGACTTGAGTCACTGAGAGGAAATAAGCAGGAGAAAATTCATGCATTAGCAATGATAAAATGGCTTAAAAAATATATAGGAATGTAAAAAGAAACAAATGAAAACTAATGGACTTGGGCTGAGGTAAGATCTGTATTTGAACTGGGTCCTGACGTAGCGATGTGGATCTTGTCTGTGAACGCCGGAGGCTGAGAATATCTCTGGTGAACTCTTGACCATGCCAGTCTCTCTACGACAAAATCTTGGTTTCTGTTTGTGAGTTTTTATTTCTTTTGAACAGACCAGCTTTTATGTAAGAGAAAATTGAGCTGGAGTCTTCCTCCCTGTATTCATGCTGTAAAGGGAAGAATGTGCTCTGAATATATTGTTTGCCTCCATTGGGAGCCACAGAAGACTTAATTCTATAGGTAACAGCGGTTATTAATAGCAATATGTTTGATTCCCGAGGCAGTATGTCAAATTGGAATGTCTACCAATGCACTCCATTAGCACATGTATCTGAGGAGCAAAACCAGCTCTTTTTTTGCAGGCAGCAGTGAGTGTCAGAGCTGCTGGGATTAGAGTCTCACTTATGGAATGTCTTGAGGGCCAGAAGCGGTGTCTGGGAGCTCTTGTTGGGAGAGTCGGACGGCAAACTCTCGTGGAGCTTCAGGCTCGAATCAGTTGTGTAGTTTATATGCAGCGTTTTCAAAATGCCTTCTGATTCCAAGTCTTTTGAACTGYGTGAATTCCCCTTACACCAAACTGGGTATATTCGTTCTGAAAAGATTGGATGCATTGTGTCTAAACTGAGATAAAATATTCCTGACAGGGAAAAGTGGAGCCTGACAGTTCTTTGGTTTGTCTATTGATGAGCCAACTATAGGTGAAAAAAACATTTCTGGTGAGTCTTTTAAAAATGTTGGAATTATTGCTGCTTCCTGGGATTTGCCGTGCTGAATGTCTGTCAGGTGGGGGAGTCCTCTGCATGTGGGACAGCTGCTTTGGTTTGGAACAGGCTGCACTTATAGATCACATGCATTGGAGGGGTTACTCGAGGCTCACAGGCGTGTTGTGTTCCAGGGACCCCGAAGGAAACAAGACTTGGAAACCTCCGTTTTCCTCTCCRTGTAGTATTTAGATGAGTGCTTGTTTTGGAGCACACAGTCAGGATGCATGGTGTCAGGATGTGTTAGCAGAGCAGAGCTGAGCCAAGACGTGCTTTGCTGGGCTCCTGCCTTTTCTGAACGGACTGACTAGTGCCAAACGGTGTGACATTATCTGGAGCCACATCACGCTGCGGTCATGAATGTTTTGACAGTTCTGATCCGTATATAAAGTGTTCAACTGGTTCCATTCTGTCCCCGTGTGCTGAGATGCTCCCACTCCTCCACACATGTACAGCAACCCCCAGAACTCCTCAAAAACCAGGGTGCCTCTAAGCCATAAATATTAGCAGAGATCAGAACATGGGTATAATTAAATATGAAACTGGGACTTTTTTTTTTTAAGGAGAAATTTTAGAGGTTTATAAGTTGTCTATTTTTGTTACATGTTGTTACCATAAGGGTTTTTAAGGTCACTATAAATGTTAATATAAGCAGTAAATGACTACCTTGAGTGGCTTGGCTGCATCAGTCTGGTATCATTGGACRTTAGGAGCAAAGTCTGACTTACTTGTATCACCTTATTTCTTTCTCCAGTGGAAAGATGTATGAGTTTGATGCAAGCTGGCACGCAGATGATCAAACTCCGTGGCGGTTCCAAAGGCCTGGTGCGCTTTTATTACTTGGATGAACACAAGTCGTGCATTCGCTGGAGACCATCTCGGAAGAATGAGAAAGCCAAAAGTGAGTGTCAAAGGGCCTTGCTCTTTCATTAACAAGTCAACACAATGCATTTAATTTCCATTTGTAGATGATCAAGAGGCATGTTAACATTGTATATAGCCTTAAGGTCTGTRTATGATTTCATGAAGATTAGTAGCTTATGTGTATTAAATTGCTGTTTGCTGTGCAGGCTACAAAAGTGTAACAACTCAGAAATGAGTTGTGCTGAAACCCTGTGTAAATATAAGAACTTGCAATCTCAATTTTGGGCCAGGTTTGAATTATTTTTCTGCAAGATTTTCTGTCACTTTTCCATCCCTGTAGCTTGGTTAGCTACATACCATATGACTGAAGAGTAAATTAGAGGTTTTGTGGGATTTTTTTGTAACTACCAGAGGCATCCACATAGATCAAAAGTATATCAATTCCCTGTGTTTGTGAAGACAGATTTTAAACCATCCCTTTTGCTCTTGAAATAATAATAATAAAAACAGAGGACGGTTGACAATCAGCCATGCTTTTTCAAGATGCCAATATCTGCATTCTCTATTCTGTCTGTCTGATCTAGAGCAAAATGAGGAGGTTGTCATAATTTTCAGCTTATTTGCAATTATTTCCTTCTATTAACTCATATACTGCAAAGAAAGTGTTTGAGAAACAGTTATTATTTAAAGTCACAAGTTGCAACCGGGGATATGATAGAGTTCAACTATTTATTTAATAGAAGCTGTTTAAAAAGATGCATGAAACTGCATTGGTAAGGGACCAGTACAGGGAAGACAAGATGTTTGGTAACAATTGTGCCAGTGAGAGGAAGAAGACACCAGAAACTGAGTTATTCTTACAATTTTTCATTTATAAAGTAATCATATATTGGTTTTACCTTTATCTCTGAACATGATTCATGGTTTTGTTGTCTAAAGGGGATGTAAGTTTAATAATATTATAAGAGGTGTACTACTTTTATGGTTAAACTTAAGGCTGGGTCTTGAAAGTTCTGATCCCACCGCTCTTACTCCCTTGTGTGACCTCCGACAATCCACCAAATTCAAGATTTTTAATGTATTCAATCAGTTTGTAACACAACATCTTATCTGTGAAATGAGAATAATATTTCTTTTTGTAATTTCCTTAGTTTTCAAGCAGATTGTCCATGAATGCATTAGGTACATTCTGCTTACAGTGGATCATGTCTAGGGAAATAAGAAAAAGTTCTGATTTTCTTGTGCTTGAGAGAAACCGTTAATAAACTAAAAATACAGATTACATAGTCTTAAGAAAGAGGAAACTAAAAATACTATCCTATCACGTTAGATGCAGTCATGCTACTGTCTTCTTGGGCTATAAAGTGTGGTGCTCACTTAGACTAATTTTATTCTGGATGCTTTATCTTCTTGTTTCCACTGTAAGATATAGTCGTCAATTACGTGGCCAAGTAGCCGTGTCACTTGGCAGTGGGGCGGAGGAGGTGATTTATTTGCTCCAAGCAAACAGGAGGGGATTCTCTTTGCAGTCTTGCTGTAGACCTGTCTGCGTGAATATTCTTGCATAGCCAGTCGCTAACGAGCCCCCTACTTTATCCTTCCAGTCTCTATCGACTCTATTCGGGAGGTGTGCGAGGGGAAGCAGTCGGAGATCTTCCAGCGCTACGCTGATGGCAGTTTTGATCCCAACTGCTGCTTCAGCATYTACTACGGAGACCACATGGAATCTCTTGATCTAGTATCTTCCAGTGGAGAGGAAGCACGCACATGGATCACAGGGCTGAAATATCTCATGGCAGGGATCAGTGATGAAGACAGCCTGTCAAAACGCCAGAGGACCAGAGACCAATATCCTTTTTTGTCACCTGAAAGAGAGTCTCCCAGCAGTGAGGTGATGAGCGGTCCCAAAAATTCCTTTAAGTATTTGTTAGGTTAAAAGTATATACCAGGCTTGAAGTTTCAAAATGGTTTCTCTGTCTGTTTCTAGAGACAGACAGGAGTTCTTGGAGATTGGCATGTGCAAGATTTAGAGATGAGTGGAATAGATTGAAAAATACACAGGCGCCATGTAAAGCATTCTATTTTATTAGGTTTTACAGAATAAAATATATTACAACATTTCAATTTGCTCATTCTGGTTACTGCTCTGCAGCAAGTATTTTTCTGTATCATTTACATAATCAGCATAATAGGTTTTTGCAAGGGCCCTAGCTTGAGTGTAAGAGAAACCTGAAAATAGTAAGTAATTCGAGATTCTGGCCTAAGCAAACCACTTGTRCAAGGTTTATAAGATACTGTCAGTCTGTAATATCACTGAAAGCAAGAGCTACAATTCTTAAAAGGCAAAAACAACAAAAAAAGGATAATTAGTGAGTATTAGCAAGATGAGATTCTGGGAATCACTGAATGTGCYTGAAGAGCACATTAGATACATTTGCATCAGCTCGTGTGCAAATTTTTGTTCTTTAGAATAAATTCTGCTGACAAGTTTAGTCCACAGTATTATTTCATAGATCCTAGATGTTTACTTTTCTAGTTTCTAACTGAAAAAACAGTATCTATGCAGTTTTAAGTCTTGATAACATTTAATATAATCCCTTGATATTCCATACACTTCCTTAACTCCTATTCAATGTGGTTGAAGCAGACTTTTGATGAGGCAGACAAAAATGGTGATGGAAGTCTGAGTATTAATGAAGTACTGCAGCTAATGCACAAGCTGAATGTGAACCTACCCAGACAAAAAGTCAAGCAAATGTTTAAGGTAAGAAATGCAAAGGTATTGTTTTCATAGAGTACAAGTCCAGGTGCAGGGTGTGCTTTGAGATAAGAGGAGGCTGGCTGCAGACCTGTGGTAATGTAATGGAAAACTCTCTGTACTTAAGAATAGATTGCAGACTTATGGCAACACTTTGTTCCTGGGCAAATATGAATTGCTGTTCACATGCCAGCCACAAACGCTTTGTGAAGTCTGCTCAGGGTTGCTGCCTGCAATGCTGAGAACTTATTTAGTTCTTGAGAATTTAGGAAGATTGGGTTAGTAAAAAGTTGCCTTTTAATTAATTTATTTACTTTTAATTCTCTGGCCTACAGTGTTCTTAAACCTGTCTACAGCAATATGAGCGAAGCAAATATATTAACTCATTTTTTGAGAACAAAATAGGGAGTGCTGGAGAAACTGTAGAAAATATTCAGCATTTTCTGTCCTGTTTGAGAAGAGCTTCAGCTGTTCTTTTCAATACCTGTCCCAGGCAGGGTTTTATTTCTTCATTTCTTTTCATGCTTTTGGGAATAGTTTTTTTCAAGCAACAGAGTAACTACTGTTGCTGCAATATCTCTGTAGCTCAACTACTGTACCTAAAATATCATCAGGCTGGAGCCCACCAATTTAGCTTTATTCTGATTGAGGAGTTTGTTTCAAGTGTCTTAAGACTATGGCTGTGCAGGTGGGTGTCTCACTGTCGCGCTGCTGTGTGATGCAGGAGGCCGATACAGATGACAACCAGGGCRTGCTGGGCTTTGATGAATTCTGTGCCTTCTACAAGATGATGTCAACGCGGCGTGATTTGTACCTGCTAATGCTTACCTACAGCAACCACAAGGACTACCTAGATACGGATGACTTGAGGCGCTTTCTTGAGATTGAGCAAAAGGTAAGAAACCCAAGACAAGACCTGCAGTCTGAGGGTGGATGCCAGAAACCTGGAACATTGTTATCCCAACGTATCATTTACAAGTGGCCTTTTCTTTCTTTGCTTTCAAGAAAAGAAGGAAAGACACCACAGAGAGGAAACTGTAGACAGAAGTAGATTAAGGCTCCTTGAAATTATAATAAGAGAAGTTGGCAAAATGAGAAGTTACTGGGTTCTAAATAAAGATTCTTATTTAACTTTTAAGTAGGAGAGTTCTTTGTGGGTTTTTTCTTTGTGTGTGTGTGTGTGTGTGTGGTCTGGGTGGGTTTTGGATGAGTTTGGAGAGTTTTATTGTTTTTTTTTCTTTTTTTTTTCAATGGCTTTTTGAACTTCTCATGATTAGGAGAATTCATTTAAGATATGCTATTTGCGTTTTTTTAATATTTGTAAGAGAAAAGTCTTATTGCCTTGGCCTATCTCTGACGGCCTATTCTCTGATGGCTCTTACTGGAGTAGATAAGCTGTGCTAGGAGGGGAGAAAGACAAAGAAAAGCTCTGTAATTGGGCATCATGGTAAGATTTGTAATTAGTGAGCTGGTTGTTTCTCTGATATTATCTTTCTGTTTGCCGTTGGGGATGTGTTGCTATAGGAGAGGAAACTGTAGTCATACATATGAAAAGTGAGCCGCTACTTTTATTTCGCTCAGGAGACTGTGAATGAAACAATTAGATTTTAATCTTGTGGGCTGGTGTGACTATTTCTTGAATCACTCTGCTCCCACTGCCTCATTCTCTTGAAGGGTCTTCTGTTGGGTCGCTGAACATCATCTCTGCAGTTCCATTCTTTCTTATGTGTTCTTGCAGAAAAATCGCATCAATATCTGATGTCTTCCAGTATTCATTAGCCTAGTGCAAAGATGCTCTYTGTGGCTTTGCTTATGGCTATGCAAGTGTAGCTCATGGCAATACACTGAATTAATTATGTCCCTTTCTCAATTATTATACTTAGGTATCTTCTCAATTTGTAAAGTGGAAGTTTCTCTTTTCTGAAGAGCTGTTGATAGCTGCCCATGTTTTAGATGTGCTTTGAGGCTATATGGTAGTGCATAGTAGGTATTCTCTCAGCACTTCTCTCAGCACTGGAGCGAATCTTACACACTATATTTTCCCTTTGAACCCATCTGAAAGAGGCACAGTAATTTTAGTCTACCAAAACAGCTAATGTGCTATTATACAGGGTCCAGTAGATAATAATAGTAGGTAATGGTAAGCATTATATCTGAAGTTGCTCATGAAGCTGAGACATATTACTCTTCAGAGACATTAATTCAAAGCTTAGAGCTTTACTCTGCAAATATTGAAGTGCACTCATGCACCGTGCTTAAGGCTGCATATGCACATTCAGCTAAATGCCAACAAACTATTACTGTGGTGCAGTAAATGCTGTCTTGTGTCCCTGTACTGAACAAGGGGTCTAGCCTACTTCAGTCTCATCAGTAAGTTTGTCTATCAGTCAACGCTGCACATCAAAGTCACGGGAGCCTGTTTTCTGAGAGCTCATTTTTTCTGAAAAAGAAACTAATCTTGATATATTCTTTATTTAGTGGAAGAAGGATTTCTTCTTTTTGCTTGTATGGTACATCCTGTATCATAGATGGAAACCTTTATGGAAGCAAGAATCTTTGGAACAAAGCTACCTTGAAACAAGCAATTTTACTCCTGTACTTCTGTCATAAATAGCTCTTGGTCAGGACAACCTTGGGTCTTTCTGGTTTGTGGTATCCTGGCGGTCTAGGAAATGATAAGATACAGAGTACCTGCATCATGAGGACTATGGCCGGTGGAACAGGCTGCCCAGAGAGGCTCCACTTCAAAAGTTTCCAAGGCCAGACTGGATGGAGCGCTCYGCTGCGGCTGTGACCTGATAGCTGACCCTGTTCTGAGCTGCATTTTGAACTAGCTGAAGTCCCTTCCAACCTGGGTTATTTTATAGTACAACGAGCTCATGTCTAGACACATGCAGAAATTTCTGAAATGAGGAAAAAAAATGGATGGCAAAGTGCAGTCAGCCAGTGAAACTGCATTGACTTCTCTTTGCCTGTTCCCTCTCACGATCTTTTTTGAAAGTGCATGCCTGTAGTCATAAATCTACATCAAAGTTTCAAGAGTTGTCTAAGAMATGGATGAATAAAAAAGTCACCTTTCTGCCGCACTCATCATTTTAAATGAGTGGGATGTGTTTCCATTTCATTGGTCTATTGATCTTCCTGATGAGAGAGGAAAATGAACATTAGCCACTGACAAGGAGAATACATTTCTGGAGGGTTTTGCTTCCGTGCCTGGTGCTCTTTCTCATGTAATATATGCAGGGAAAACAAGTGCTCATTTTGTTGGTTTGAAGATTATCAGCAAAACAGAACTAAACAATGTTGTGGCAGCAATGTTATAGAGATGCACTTGGGAAGAATGTTAGGTTTCTTTTCTTCCTCTTTTATTCAATGTTAAATTAACACAAAAAAAGGCATTGGTCTTGTAGCAAATATGGTGGTGGTTTAGGTTCTGCTAAATTATAGTGTCAACCATCACCARTTCAGCCAATTTAATGGTAACCTCCTTTGGCAACAACGTCTCAGTTTTCGTATGTGCCATGTACAGTATCTGATGGAAAGGTCTTGCTGGACCACTCAGGACAGGAATATTAAATACAAGCAGCAGTAATAATTAAATGGAAAAAAAAAAGAGTATTAAATAGTGTTTGCATTTCAATGTTTTTATAACTTAGTTTTAACAAAGGCATTTTTTTTTAATCCTACCATCTCCAAACATCTATTTTTCTTTTTTAACTTCAGAATGCAAAGCAGTTGTGAGGTTGGCAGGTTTTCTCAAGGAGCTTTCTGAAAACAGTATCTCCTGACTGTCTGCTACCTTGCTAATTTAAATGATTTTTCTGTCTGCTGCATAAAGTACAACCATTTTGTTGTTTTATTCTGAAGTAAAAACCTTTGGACAATGCAAATGAGTCCTTTAATCCTATAGTAGAAGAAATCCTCTTGGTTTATGACAAAACTTGTTTTATTTGGATGCTTTGTGTGCTTAACAACATTCTAATCAGATTTGACCTACAAAGCGCAACTCTGACTGTTGTTTTGGCTGTAATCGGGCAGCTGCCAATAGGACAGAATCTTTTCATTGAGCAATTTAGTTCTTATCTGACCTGACACTGATTGGCAGGAGTGAGAATCTCATTGGGTAATTGGAAATCCTAGTGTCAGTATGGATAATCTGGACGGTTGTTGAACTGTACACAGAGCTAGGAGAAACTGCATTTGCTAGGTAACAAGTTCTCCACTTAATTTTTTGCTGCTTTATAGATGACCAGCGTGACTAAGGAACACTGTCTGGAAATTGTCAGCAAGTTTGAACCGTGCTTGGAGAACAAGAAGGAGGGAGCTTTGGGGATTGATGGTAAGATGACTGGTGTAGCTGTTGAGAGGGATAACAGAGATTAAATGGCTGTGAGAATAACACATTTGTTTGTATTATATTTAGTTAATCATGTGGCGTAARGAATGATTTTTTCCTCTTTTCTTTTTTTGGCATATCTGTAATTTGCTGAAGAACCTAAAGGGAAATTGATATTCCCTAGAAATTTGTTAAGGGTTTGGAAACAGAAGTTCTCCAAACCAAATATCACAAATGCTCATTGTGACAAATTATTGGGATACAGTAGTGTTATTTTTTTGTTCATTTTGCTTCACACGTTCATGAAGGTGTTGGTAAATGTAGGGATGCGTTTTGATGCTGGGTTCTAGGAAGGTTACAGCAACCAAGCGGAGAAAAATGCGTCATCTCTTGTATTATTCATTTGCAGGTTTCACCAATTACATGCGGAGTCCATCAGGGGACATATTCAACCCAGAACACTACCAAGTGAATCAGGACATGAGTTATCCTTTGAGTCACTATTTCATTACCTCTTCACATAATACCTACCTCACAGGGGATCAACTGATGTCTCAGTCTAGGATGGACATGTACGCATGGGTGTTACAATCTGGCTGTCGTTGTGTAGAAGGTAAAGATCATAGTCTCCATAGTTTTGTCTCTCCTCTATAGAGGAAGAACTCTACACAGATTTCTACACAGTAATTGGTTAAAGGAAAAAGCCTAGTTAAAATGTTGTTTTTACTTCATAGGCAACAACAGAAAAATGGTGCCATATAACAGATACATTTTATTGAATGTGGGAATAAGACATAGGAAGAGTATTCTTGCTTATATGAAGATAAATAATCATAAAATTTGTAGAGGAGATATTCCTATTCAGTATAATTTGTTGTTGTATGGAATTATTTTAAGCATATGGCTACTGATCTGGCAAATAGCACAGAGTTCTGACTAGGTAGAGCAGGAGAGCTGGTATTTCTGTTAAGGGAAATAAGATCATATGCAAAATATCTGCCACTGACCAATGAGCCTTGCTGTGAAATCCCTTCTGAAGTTTACAGTGCCTTTCAGAGGCAGAACGTGTCTATAGTGTACTGACCATCAAAGTGTTTCCATCATTCCTGTAGTAATAATCATTAGAGCTTGTTAAAGGAGATCTGTTTTCTTGGGACTTTCTCAGCTAATGGGAGCAGCAACATATTCACAGTAGAATTTCAAGATAGTGAAATTTCATCGGAAAAAAATGACAAGAGGAAGTGCAGAGATAGATATGGATGAAGAGTGGGAGTGAACGCTGTGTCTGCTGTGTTATTGGGTTCCGGAAGGGCACTGTAAGGTCTCAAGTTCTTCTATATCTTCTATACGGCTACAGATGTTATGTGTCTGATGGGTGTCTTTGCTTCTGTTCTACAGTTGACTGCTGGGATGGGCCAGATGGTGAACCAATTGTCCATCATGGATATACTTTGACTTCCAAAATTCTCTTCAAAGATGTGATTGAAACTATCAACAGATATGCCTTTGTCAAGAATGAGTATGTATTTGGGCTACCACCTTCTGAGTCTCTTACAAGCTCTGGGTTATAACCTGTAGTGCTCTCGGGCATGCTTGTAAAGGCAGGAATTTGAAAACCTAACTGCAGTAGTCAGTCAGGCATTCAAATTCTAAATTAGTTTCTAGGAGGAGAAAGCCTGCAGAAAAAAGTAACAAGGCAGAATTGGCTGAGTAGGGGACATTGTGTAGATAGTTGTGTGGATCCCTTTATCCCACCGGTAAAAGAGAGGAGACTGTAACATGTTTTGACAGTGAATATTTTTAGCAAATATCTGACAGTTCAGGCACTTATCTCTGGATGTGCATTCAGTGATGCCAAGATCACACTCGGATGGTTGCTCTGAAGATAGGTGGCAAGTCAGGCAGTAGAAAAATACAAAGAGATGGGAGCCCAGTTGTGGAAAAAGCAGACTACCCAAGAGAAACAGGATTTTTCTCTACATGCATGTTGCTCAAAAGATCAAAGATTGATAGAACGAGAAATTTTGTAAAGCTGGCAGTTCTATCAACCTTTCAAGAGTTAAAATGTTCGTGTTAATCTGTCACCTTTAAGAAAAATAAACATGAGGGACAGTTCACGGAGGAGAACTGAAGACACTAACTACATTTTGTTCAAGATTGGCTGTTAAATACTGGTAGGATGTGGGCATCAAGACTTGGTAATGTAGTTGTATGTTCTGGAAAAAAAAGCATCAAGTTAGAATGCACAAATTTAATTATCTTGTGGCTGTCAAAAATGAACTATTTAGTTTGGGGTGAGTAGTGGTATATTAGTACTGTCTCCAAACAGATTTATTGAATTCCACTGGATTTCATTAGTAGTGGAGCTTATTATAAGCATGGTTCAGATAATAGTACCGCTTATCCTCCTTAGTGCTGTAAACTTGAATTTGATGATACTTGCTTCTGTTTCTACTAGGTACCCTGTTATCTTGTCAATTGAGAACCATTGCAGTGTCATTCAACAGAAGAAGATGGCACAATATCTTACAGAAATACTGGGAGATAAGCTGGATTTGTCTTCAGTGCACAGTGAAGATCCTACCAAGCTCCCTTCACCAGCAAGTCTTAAAGGGAAGATATTGGTTAAGGTAAAAACCTGTTTGTTTTTGCTTCTTCCCTCCTTTTTTTGTGAATATTACAAATTCTTCCTGTTATAAATGGACTATACAGACACAGCTGTGTCATGCAACCTAGCATTTTAGTGGGAAGTTTACTATTGCTTGTGTTGCTAACCAGCAAGAAGGTTTTTTTTCTGGTGTGGGCTTTTACTAAAGAAKTTGCCTGCAAGCTGTCTACACACTGATACAGTCACTAAAGCTCCCAATAGCTGTGATAATGCTTTGTTAAAAAAAAAGACTCAAGTCTGCCTTATTGTACCATTCTTCACTCTCTCCCTTACCATTTTGAGCCAACAAGCACATAGCTCTTAGAATCCTCTGTTGGCTCCAATTCTGCTGGGTATAGAAGAGATTTTAACAAATGCTTGAGAAGTGCTGCTTTGAATCCAAGCTTCTGTACATATATCTGTCTGGCTCTTATTTTAAGTTCTCAGCTTTTTGCGTTCACTTAAATTTTACTCAGAGCTTACAGATTTCTATACTAAATGTTTGATCATTCCCCCATGAATTAGAAAATGTCCTATCTCATTTTTTTCCCCTTTCATTCTTTCTTGTTCCTGATCCAGAATCCTGGATCCTGTGAAGATCCTGTGAAGATCCTGGATCAGGATCTTTGCATACACTAAACCTTAGCTTTGCTTAGAATGTTATGATTTCCACTCTTCATAGGAATTACTATTGCTTCTATCATGCATGATGCCATTCTTTTTTCTGTCATAGCAAGAGCTGTATTTTAACCTGTCTGTGCAAACGTTGCATGTTCTAGGGGAAGAAGCTTCCAGCCAATATTAGTGATGATGCAGAAGAAGGTGACGTGTCGGATGAGGACAGTGCTGATGAGATTGATGATGATTGTAAATTAATGAATGGAGATGTAAGTTAAGTGACTGTTTGAATATATATGTATATATATATTTATTGCTGGGTGTTCACTCTTTCAGCCTTTATATGGCATGTGAATGCTTTCCATAAAGCAACCATGTGTGAGAGAGCCTTAGATTCTGCATATATATCCTTAACTAATTAATCTATTAAATTTCAAGAAAGACTTACTTATTAAAGAACACAATGGAATAGATGAGTTTTTTTACCAAACAGATATTGTAGAACATACTATATATTAATCCAGTTCAGTAGGAGGCATCATCTGCATATTAATTATGTCAGCACATCCTTGGCTTGCAACAGAAACATGTGTTACCTGAATAGCTCTGCTAGTGATCGGTCTTGATTCCTTTCAACCATTGAAGAACCACTTGCATCAGTTTTAGTTCCAATGTTTTCAGATAACCTGTTTGCATCTTGGATCTAACATCTACTTTAGAGTTTTACATCCCTACATATCTTCTGCTAAGTTATTGCTTAACTGTATGCAAATGAAGAAGTTGCTATTTTTTTGGCATTCTGCAAAGTAGTTACTAAAGTCAATTAGAGCAAGTCATACAGATGGTCGTCTTTATCTTTCTTCCTTGTATATCGTTTTTTCCTGTGTGTGCACATAGCATTTTAGTTTGCATTAATCCTGGATAGAATCACTAAGATATTTCTTTCACCACTACTTTGTTTAATGGTTCTGTTTGTGTTTGTAGGCATCTGCTAATAGGAAGAGAGTGGAAAATATAGCAAAGAAAAAGCTTGACTCATTGATAAAGGAATCCAAAATCCGTGACTGTGAAGATCCAAACAAYTTTACTGTCACCACTCTGCCATCCTCGGGGAAGGTTGGTCAGAAATCAGATGTTAAGAAGGTAAATGTACTTTAATGTGCTTTACTTATTTGTAGAGTTGGCTATTGAGTATTTTTGTGTCCATAGTTAGGTAGTGCTATTATTTCATAACAATAATGTTTCATAACAATAATTCTTTCAGAGTTCTGAGAAACTCGGCTGGTTCTGCCATTCACTGTTCTTTCTGTTTGGTCACCTTAGAGTAAACTTGAAGATGAAGTGGAATCCGGGGAAGACTTCAGTAGCAGCAGGCGGCACGGCCGGTCGCTGATGGGCAGCTTTTCTAAACGGAAGGTAAGCCGCTCAGAAGATTAGGTCCACATTGAAGTAGTGGACTCTTGGGTAGAACTTGCTTCTTCAGGGTGGTGGGGGAGGAAGGTCATAATTATATTGTCTGACAGAAACTTTCTATCAGATTTCTCACTGATTAAATAGGCAGGAAAAGTCGTTAATTGTGTGTAATAGTTTGTTTCATTTCACATCAGAGTCTGTATTTATCCAATATCTATTCTGGAAATCCATTCAAATTAATTTGCATTTTCCATTTAAAATAAGAACTGTAACATAACTAACCAGAATAACCTTTTTTATCCTACTTTCTCTGCGTGACACAGAGCTTGCAGCAGCAGTGACACAATGTAGAAAATATCTCTTATGTGAAGATGTACAGTTCCATTATAGAAAGGTTCTGGCCCTAGGTAGAGCCTTCCTCACAGGCATGAATATCGTTCTGCTGAATTGAAGAGCATTAAAAAGCTGTCATTGCACATTTTCTGCAAGTAACATATTTCTTGCATAATGCAGCAGGATTGTTTCTAGCTGCTCAAATGTTGATCAGATGGACAGGATATTAAAAACTTGTTTGTAGCTGTGATATTTCATACTTGATGCAAAGCATTTCAAGTAGGAATACTGTATTTTTGGGGGTGCCCTACTGGGACCTTTAAAATGATCCTACTTTTCTTAGAGCAAGGAATTGGATGTTTTCTCAAAATAGGAGAAGATATCTCAAAATAGATACTCAAAATCAATAATGCCCTCAAAATGCTGAAAGTTGTCTGGTATGTTCTTACATACACATTCAATTATATCAACAATATGGAAGTTGTGGACATCATAACAACTATGTTGTGCTTCCACAAAGACTTCCTCAAATCAGTATCTTTTGTTGCCTTTCTTACCCTGTAAAAGTTGGCAGGAACTTTCTGGTTCTTTCATTGAAAATCCTTCTACAAAACAAACTCAGAAAAAAATTTATTATAGATAATTTAACTGCTTGAGTTTACTTTTCCACTAGTTTGTTGCAGGAAAGAGCAACCGTCTTTTGAATATTGATATTTTGATATGCATTGTAGAAAATGTTTTTATGTCCTTATGGCACAGAAAAAAGGAAGCAAAATGAAAAAGGCAACAAGTCTGGAAGAGGGTGAAGATGATTTGGACTCTCAAGGAAATTTACTCAGGGGCTCTGTACATTACAACAGGTTTGTAACACATGATTTAATAATTTTGTGTCTAAAAAGAATGAGATCCTTTCATGCTTTTGCCTCTAAAGCTTCTGTGCCTCAACTGTGAGGCTCCATGTGGTGTTAAAGTACTAAACATCTCTGTGGTGGAAGAAGATCTTTTATTTATTCACCTTGATGTTTTCCAAATATGAAAGAGAAAGTTTCTTTCTTAGTTAATGAGAAATTGTTTTGTTTTTGTCTTTTAGGATAAACCGACAGAAGAAAACAATGAAACTTTCCCGGGCGTTGTCTGACCTGGTGAAGTACACGAAGTCTGTTGGCATTCATGATGTAGAAGCGGAAAGTAGGTTGAATTAGAACTCTGTGAAAAGTAATTTCTATGCAGAGAAATTGAAAGTCTTATGTTCTTACAGGTATTTTTAGAAAAGTTATTTTTTTGTCTCTGCCTCCTAGATAGGATTTATAAGAGTTGCATACATTTGTTGTAGTTGACTTCATTGTCCCAGCGCAATTCCTCCAATAAATACATTGATTTTGCTATAATGGAAAAAAGGATGATTTCTTCTGTAGTAGGATGTATTCCAAYAACAACTGGTTGTTATAAGTAACTGATGATATATTTTTAATGCTATAGTTAAAATGAAATAACTAGGAAGGGAGATGACTCCTAATTTCTTCCTTGTAGTCTCTTGCAGCTGGCAGGTTTCATCTTTCAGTGAAACAAAAGCACACCAGATCCTGCAGCAAAAGCCAGCACAGTACCTACATTTCAACCAGCACCAGTTGTCCCGTATCTACCCATCCTCTTACCGTGTTGACTCTAGCAACTACAATCCCCAGCCATTCTGGAATGCTGGCTGCCAGCTTGGTGAGCAAAAAGAAGCCTTGTTTTATTTGTTTTAATTCAGGAGAAATGTTTAAATAGAAGATTCAGATTCACCTGTTCTGTCATTTCTAAGTTCTTTGTTCATTCAACTTTAATGACATCTGAGTCCTATTTTTTTTTTTCTGTATTGTTACATACATAGATCTTCTTAAATATATATTATGTGTAGGCAAATGATAAATGGAGGTAGAAGAACTTCTTCCTTATCACGTGCAGGAAGACTTCAGAGTCTGGAACTCTTCTGCAGAGCTTTTCTCCCAGAAGACGTGTTGTATCTAATATAAGGGAAGAATTTTTCCAACATATATGATTTGCCAAGAAATGAAATTTAAAAAATATCTAGAATATCTAGATGTTCTTCTTTTATCTGAGATGTACAAACAAAAATGTCATTAAAATCCTCTATTAGTGATATTACTTTTTTTGCTGTCTTTTTTTTTTGTCCTTAGTTGCATTAAACTACCAATCAGAGGGGAGAATGCTGCAACTGAACCGGGCGAAGTTTAGTGTCAATGGGAATTGTGGCTACGTCCTCAAACCAAACTGCATGTGTGAAGGTAAGAAAAAGTAGCAAAAAGAGTTGCATTTTCACTTGCTTATGTCATGAGAAGAGAAGACATAGATCCCAATTCTAATTTGTAGAAAACTGGATTGCTAATGCTAGAAGCAAATAAACTAGAAGGTATCTAGTTGTCTCCCTAAAATTACACTTCTTTCACATTGGCTTCTTATCCCTACAGGTGTCTTTAATCCAAATTCTGAAGACCCGCTGCCTGGACAGTTGAAGAAGCAGCTGGTTCTAAGAATTATCAGTGGTCAACAGCTCCCAAAACCACGGGACTCCATGCTGGGAGACAGAGGAGAGGTATGAAACAATTGATGATTGTTAATTTTCCAAATGACTGGAGCAAGGATGAGTGTTTAAATTTGGGCAGTTGTTATTAAATATGATTAAATTAGATCATTAGATCTTTAGGTGGTTTTCATCTCTTCTAAACATCACTGCAGTAGTCTGATTGTCCTCTGCTTGTCAATATAACATACTCATCCTAAATTATGTCTTTTTGATGATTTGACCATATGTTTCTTCTCAGCATAAATTGTCATTTATAGAAAGACTTATGATGAAAAGAACTTTGGGAAAAAATGTACCGTGATATCATTGTAAAGGTTACCATTGAGCCTCAATTTTGTCACTCTTTTCAATATTTATTACTTTCTCTTTTCCAGATCATAGATCCATTTGTAGAAGTCGAAGTTATAGGCTTACCAGTTGATTGCGTCAAAGAACAAACTAGAGTGGTTGATGATAATGGTAGGATCATGAGTTTTCTGCTCTTATAGAGCTGTCAGAAATATCCTTATTCAGGAAAGTTTTTGGGGAAGCTTCATTTTAAAAGTTTGTTCTTAAATAGTCAACTAGATGAAATTTGGTGACTGTAAGAAATGTTAATGGGAAATTATAATTATAATCTAGATTAGAAAAGACGGAGGGACACCTTGTCTGACCAGCTGCTGAAAGCAGGATGACCTGCTTTTAAGATTAATTTGGGGTTTCTTTTTGCAAATTGTTGTGGTATTGTGATCCCTACTGAAAGAAGCACGAATACTGGACTTATAAAAAGCAGTGATCAAACTGCTAGGAGAACTAGAATAACCACTGCAGTTTAGGCTTTCCTTATATAGACAACCTTCTTGCTTCATATCTCACAAATGTAGTATCTAAAACAAACAAAATGTCAAAGATATGTCCACATCTTTCATTCCCAGGTTTTAACCCAATGTGGGAGGAAACGCTGGTGTTTACAGTGCACATGCCAGAGATTGCGTTGATTCGGTTCCTCGTGTGGGATCATGATCCAATTGGGCGAGATTTTATTGGACAGAGAACAATAGCTTTTAGCAGTATGATGCCAGGTAAGACACAAATTGTGAACTACCTAATTCCTTGCCTAGAACTGCTTCCTGCAGTGAATGGAGCTGCAGCAAGTGTGTTACTGGCTGCGCGGGTGTCTGCAGCAGGGAGCTCTCACGGGACACTCGGAGTCTGAGCCTCCTGAGTTCTCTCTCCAGGTCTGCTACTGATGTGACAAAAACGAAATCAGCTAACTGTGTGGGACTGTGTTTTTTAAAAGATGCCTAAGATTGTAAAGCTTAATGTAGTGGACTTGAAAGACAACCATGAATAGTCTTTTCCTGAGTTATTTCATACTGCCTTTTTTTCTGTGTTTTCTTCCTACTGATTTTGAAAGATATTAGTCTTCACTAGAGTTAAAACTATCAGTARTAGTTTAATATATGGCAGACATTTACCTATTCTCTGTTCTCTACAGACTGTTTTCTGTCTATTTCTTATTGTTTTTTTTGGCTCAGTCTCATTTCACTTGCATGTAAATTTTTCATTTTCATTCAAAACAAAGGAAATKATTATATTTTGTGCTTTGTTGATTACAATTGAAAGCAAATAACCAATCTCAATAGGATAAACTTGGTTGAAACATCTACAGTATTAGTAATAGGCTATAAAACACCAAGAAAGTCAAGTTTAAGTCAAAAATTGATAGTCACAATATTGGACCTGAACAAATCCAGGACAGAATGAGTGTGTTCCTTTAATATAAAAGGGACAAGAAAAAAAATCAGTTACATTTGTAACTGCTATTTTATCTCCAATAAATTSTGTGTGGCTAGGCAAAGCACAAATCTAGTTGCTTAGTATGGGAAGAAGTTGAGAGAAAGCTCATTAATTTTTGTTGCTTACAAAGGGGAAGTCTCTAGATGCCCTTTCTATCATTTATTACTCCTTGACAGTTTTGCTTGCTCTGTTTTAGGCTACCGACATGTATACCTAGAAGGTATAGAAGAGGCATCTATTTTTGTTCATGTGGCTATTAATGACATCTGTGGTAAGGTGAGTGCCTTCAGTTATAAAGCATTGAATTTTGCATGTGTAAATGCACTGGCAGGATTTTGTGTTACACCGGCAAACCCCAGCAGGTAAGGGTCCAACCTAACCTCTTTCTCAAACTAGAATAAACTGCGTTGCTGCGGTGGTCATAGAATCCTGAGATCTTTCTAAGCAGAGTTTTTTGCATTGCAGCACATGCTGATGGGTTTGCTTGTGTCTGATGCATTGGGTGCACCTTACTGGACAAATGCTTGTACACCCGAACCTCTTGGTGCTTTCTGCCTGCAAAACTTATTCRTTCTATGAAGGCCTTGTCTGCCTGTGACTTTTCTAATTTTAATAAAATTCTTAGGGATTATCTGCTTAGGGACTTTCACCGCGTATCAGCTGAGATTGGTGTGCTTGTTTCACATGACTCTCTGGATGCCATGTCTGACCTGTCCAGCTTTTCCTAGGGCCAGCTGAAAAGGAGATATCTCTTCCTTCAGTGTGCTGCATTTAATTACTTCTGTGATATTAATTTCATTGACACTCAGATGGCTAGGTCACTTAGGAATCTGGAAATTAATTTATAGCCAGGCTCAATGGCAGACGGAATTTTCTGTTATATTAGCATCCTGACAGCAGGAGGCAGCATTGAACAGGCTGGGAATTCTAACTTATTTTGTGGCCGTGTGTTACTGTTTATATTAGAAAAAACTAAACAAACAAAAACGTCCTTTTTTTTTATTCTTTTTTAACAGCTAGATTTTAATCAAAACTGTTGTGGGCTGAAACTGAGATAGTTCCCAGGAAAGTTTCCATGTGTAGCTACAGGAAAATGGACTGTTAATGGAAAGTGTGTCAGGTTAGACATTTCAGTTAACCCCTGTSAAAGGAATGAGAGCAGAAGTTGAGCTGAGCTTCTGCCTTGTGGTCTGATGGCAAGCCTGAAAACCTTGGGCAGGTTTAGCCGCTTCCTGACAGGACTAGGCCCTCCTGCTTTGGGATGACATTTGTGAAACKGTTGCAATCTGTTTAGCTCTAAGGAGAAAGAGACTTTTAAAAACGCAGATGAAAGAGAGTTGGTTGATGCTGGTCTGTATGAAATAGAAAGCAGTTGAGCAGTGTTTAGTTTCTAATTGCAAAGTTTGCCACGAATTGACTGCTGCCAAGTGCATCCATGCTGCTGCCGTTGGAATATTAGATTTTCTTGATATGCGTTACAAGCAAAGCTTGATGCACACTGAAAGACTTTTGCTGTATCGTGCTGTCTCCTGTCCTTATGCAATAGCTTCCAGTCCACGGTTCTGCTCTAGATTTTGAGTGCTTTATTCACTTCTCATGTTCTCAATCTATTATACATCCCTTGTTGCTTCTCACTACATTGCAGTGTCTTGCTCTTTGCTGATGTTAAGATGGTAAAGCTGTTCACTATCCTCATTAAAGCAWAAGGATTTGGGAGGGAAGCTTTTATATGGGTTTATTTTTTATAGTTTTTAATTAGTGCATAGCTGGTCCTGCCTGCAAACAAGACAAAAGACATGAGCCAAGATATTAAGCGACTCTTTCTCTTCTGGTCCCTCTGGATCACATCCTGCTGTTCTTGGTCAAGAGTTGTTTTGTGCGTGTAGATTTATAATGTCAGTGAAAGCTGCACGTGAAATACTTTGATCCCCAACAAGGACAAGAATGGCAGAATATGAATCAATTATCCCACCAGTCCTAGTTGATTTTAAAGAACAGAGTAAACAGGACAACTTTAGTCTTATTCTGAGCTCCTAGATTTCTTGATTCCTGGCTTACCTAGGCCAGAAGAGTTGTGCAGTTCTGTGTTAGTGGCCACTGGAGTGGCATAGGTTTCAAACACTGTTAAATGATGCTGTGTTTCGTTTGCAAGAACTAAGGAACTGGAACTCTTAATCACAGGCTGAAAAGCAAACATAGATATCAGTTTGAATTTACGTAGCCTTTATTAATCCAAATATTACAAACATTACATTTACAAATATTAACATTTTAGATTTTTTTTAAAATGCAGATATTTTGCTCTGTCCAATAACTTGAAATTGCAACAGGCAAATCTTATTTTTCTCACTTTAACTTCTTTCTAGCCGAAATCTCTCTCTCT